TACCCCAATATTTCTAAGATTCCCCTTAGTTTTTCCTTTTCCTATTTAATATATCATGAGTAATAGCTTCTAAAAATGGAAAAATACATCAGGAGCTGTAATAGTAACTGCTTTACAAGCCCTTAAAACTATTACTTTGCTGCTTGTACAGGAAGTGAAAATTAATTGGCAATGAATGTGAAACCAGTGTCAAAACAATATTCATTTTACTTACCACCAGCTTAATTTCCTTAGGAAGGGCTCACCTCCGTTATAAAACGGGGTCACCCTGTGTGAATACTTTGATAGACAATATTTACAGATGACCAAGTGCCTAATCAAGGCGAGGGTTGTGACATCCTATGCTTAACACAAGCTAGGACAGTGATCTTGAATCATCACTAGCCTTTGAATACATGGTTTGTGAGAAACTGGCATATGCGACGTTATTTCCTTTAGCCGTGGGTTCTCTTCTCCCTAGGAACATGGGATTTTTTAGTTTGCTGGAACAAAAATTTTAAACCTCTTCTCCTTTAAGTTGAAAGAGGTGTTGAGAACTTGCATTGTCATTTCCCATCAGGTAAAAATGACATTACAAACTGACTATATGATCAGGTGACAAATTCTGTGATCTGATAACCAACTAATCAGCCATTGAAGCTTTTTAATTTCAAATATTAATTTCATATAATAATTGAACTTTTGCCAGTGGAGTGCAGATATTTAGTTCCAAAATTCCTGCAGGAGAAAAGCTTTCACCTCTGAATTTGCAATCCTAGACTCCCTGATGATTGGGGGAGGTGTAGGGGGGAGGTTTCCCAGCTATATGGGTGCTACTTTTAAGGCCATAGAATCTAGATGGCCCGGTCTTGACCCTGAAATGAACCTTAAGCCTTAGAACAAAGTCATGCAGATGCCCCATTTGATGGCAGATTATTCACCTGTGCTCTGGCCTTTCTCTGTTTATGCATGTGTTAACATTGTATTGATAACTCAGAGTATTGATACATACTAATATTTGGGCCTGAAACATTAAATGGGCATTTTATTGTATATACTTAAAAAGATCTCAATGCCCTATCATACAACATAACACTCTTATTCTTTGGTATTTTTCATATGCAGAAGTTAAATCCCTTAAAGCATTCATTCATAAAAACATGTGGTTAATTGGAATATAAAGTAGTACCCAAGTTTCTTAATGAGTTGACATAAGCTACTTTAAATATTGGTATATCTTCAGAACCTTGGAATTACTAAATATCAGAAGTGTTGATTAATAGTGAAGCTTATTCCCAAAATGCGATTTGTATATCTGATACTAGGAATGTTAACTTTAATGTGCCTCAGTTTATGCATCTATAAAATTTTGTATTTTTTTCAGTGTAGTGTTTTTGTAATATAAATTCCCCATACTAGTATCTCAGCAAAAAGAGTTTTCCCCCCATAGGCCAACGACACACTGTATTTTGGTGGAACACTACTCTTTGAAGATGGCAGTTTTATTGCATAAGGACACAATTTTTTAAAAAATGTATTTTACTGATTTTTTTAGAGAAAGGGAGAGGGATAGAGAGATAGAAACATCGATGAGAGAGAAACATCCATCAGCCACTTCCTGCATGCCCCCTACTGGGGGATCCAGTCCACAACCCGGAGTGTGCCCTGACCTGGAATTGAACCAGCAATCTCTTGGTTCATAGGTCGACACTCAACCACTGAGCCACACCGCCGGTGGGGCTAAGGCCACAAATTTGATCCATGTGCTAAACAATAAAAGATTCTGGTATAATGATAATAGGATACATTTTCCCCATAACATCCCTTATTAGCTTACATGATATTATTGCTTTTTTAAAAAAAAAAAAGTTCCTATTGATTTCAGAGAGAGGGGGAGAGGAATAGAAACATCAATGATGAGAGAGAATCATCAATCAGCTGCCTTCTGCACACCCCCCCACTGGGGACTAAGCCTGCATCCCAGGCATATACCCCGACCATTGAACCTCAACCTCCTGGATCATAGTTCACCACTCAATCAATGGGTCACACCAGCAGCCAGTTGATATTATTTCTTTTAAATAGATATTTTGTCATTTTGGCCAAACAAAATACACTATTTACATTTAAAAATGAAGAAGTCTACTTATTTTAGGTCTGGGACCATTTTTGTTATAAAATCTTCTCAAAAACATATTGAAACCTTAAGTTTTATTTTAATTTTTAAAAATATTCCTGATTTTTTGTAATAGTGTATGAATTATTTAGTACTTGTCATCTGAATTAATAAACACAAAGAGCATAATGTGTTTAAGACTGTTTTTCAAATATAAAAGTTCTGACTTTAAGAAGAATTATACCATGTGAACATTTCATCTTTTCATGAAAGTGTTAAATATTGTAAGAAAGCTGATCTTTCTCATTCTTATCTTTACTATGATGTATTTATTGTAACACAGAAATGAATGAATGTGGATTGCTGTCAACTATAAACACTTCTGTATATCAGCATTTATTGACCACCTACTGTGTGCACATCACTACTGGCAAAATTTTTAAGGCATTGTTAACATTAAAGAATAACTATTTAAAAATTGCCTTCAAATCTGAGCCTTGTAATAATGTATATTTAAGTTATTTTTGTTTTACTGGATTAAAATTTTTAATTTTACCTATGTAAAAGCTCGTTACTGACGGACTTTACATTTTAAAATTATCCATGGCTGTTTTAAATTGTCTGTAGTGATTTATAAGGTTGTAGTTAACTCATTTATTTAAAAGACAATTATCTGTCAATATAAGGCATTTTTAAATAGCAAGATAGTGCTTGTCTTCTCTGTTATTCATCTGAGTGCAATTCATAAGCTGCATGGCAAAATATGTATTATGTAAATAAACTGGTTTACTATATATATTAAGTGCTGCTCCTCATTCTTTATAATGTATAACAGTTTCAAAATCATGTTTTAGAACCAGGATTGAAGAGTCAGGGAATATCTATCACACCTTATGACCCCCCACCTGGACAAAGCAATCGATTTTAAGGCTGTGATTGACTGGCACAGAGCTGTACAACTCTCTGTTTGGCAGGTAGGTACCTACCTAGATATACCCTTTGTCCTGTATTAAATGTCAAGGGTTAAAGCCTGCTTTCTGGATGCCTGCCAACTGCTGAGCTGAGTAGGTCCACATCCACCCCAAATCCTCACTTCAGGTCATTCCACCCCTGCTGAAGAATGTGAAGTCAGCTCAGCTAGTAGACGAGGGGCAGAAGTGTCTTCTGCATGCATTATCACAATAACTGCTTATATGGAAGAGGCACAGATGCTACTGAAATTCTGTACCATACTTCCTCAGTAGGGTAGGGAGATAATGATCCAAAACGGAAACTTACTGTTTTCAGAAGGGAGAAGGGGTAGCAGTAGGGGTCTCGGGTGAAGAGTAAAACTTCCGTCTTCGGAGGGCAGGACTGATAGCCACACAGGATCTAGTCCTGCTCTATAAATCTGGGATCAAAAATACTACAGAACAGAGTTGTAATTCCAATGGTGTAAAGCATCTGAAGCAAAAGTGAACTACTTTTTAAATGCGCCACAAAACTCAGATGCTCATGCCTTCCATAGGACACTATTTGCCACATCTCACATAGGATGCTGGAGCCGGACTTCCCTACAAAGGGACTAGCTGTTCCATACAGGCAGCTCTAATTGCGGCATGTATTTGTCTCTAAAGAAGTTAACTATAACTGAACTTGAACAATGGTACATTCCACAGTTCTTTTTTAATATAACTTCTAACGTGATATTTTGCTCCTTTGTACCATTTATTAAAAAGACACAAAGCCCTTACTTTTCCACATAACTTTAGATAAATGTTACTACTTCAACAACAAAAAAGTCCATTCATAACCAACAAGATAAATCTTTCCAAAAGCCACCTCTCTAAAGACTCCAGGCTGTGGAATAAATACCTAAGATAATACATATTGCGACACTGATGCCAAAGTGAGTCCAGCAATCCAATAAATAGGTTTTTCTCTTTATCTTGAAAAAGCCTCTTTTCTGACATAACCAAGGAGTACAATATTTTATTTAACCAAATTGTAAGTTATGTATGTTACCAGTTTTTAAAGAGTTTAAAAAATTAAACATAATGCATAAACTATGCCAAACATTCACAAGGTACTTCAAAGTCTTATGTTTTTGCTTCATCTTCATCTTAAGTATCTGTAATCGTAATGCCTGAAGAAATTGTGCTATTAAGTATTTTTGTTGCAAAAATGCCATGTCACAATGGGTTTTCTTACTTGAATCCTAAACTGTGAACCTAGAGATCCAATTCTATTCATTTTTCTCTTTCACTAGCTGGTACATAGTGCTTAATGTCTGTGGTGTGAATGAAATAAGTGAATAAAGTTTACAACCAAAGTTTTCAATAAGACAAATAATGAAAAACTCCAAAGTCACTGATTATAAAGATATGCAATCCATTTGAGATTTATTGCATTTAAAGAAAGCAGATTATTAAAACAGGTATGATAAATACAATAAGAAAATAACTTTAAATTTCAAACAAAACAAAGTGAATGGGGGACAGAAATTCAGTCGATAAGAATAAGCAATGTCAAGACAAAGTAGTAAAATCAGTTAGTGCTTAATAAGATAAAGGGAGAAAATAAAAGCAACTGGTACTATCTCATAACAGTTTCCCAGCTATATTTGAAGTTACCATAGAAAGTACATTTTGTAACTATTAGAAATATAATAAAGATGTAAATCAGGCTTAATAAAAGTTATTTGCTTAGTGGTACATAAAAGGCTTCAGAAAATTCAAGTTTAACAAAAAAATGGAAATGTAATCAAAGAAAGTGCACTTAAAGCTGTTTGCCAGCAATTAAAAAGTAGTTCATTACCATACTGCTTACTATAGATGACTTTCAATCACAAAAAGAGCTAGGAATAAAAACAATTTTTTCAAAAATAGCACTATCAGTTTTTAAATAAAAATCACCCCAAATGATGACCCATTGCATTTTCCTCTGTCTACCATATTCTTTTAGTGGCTTTTGTAAACCCTCACTAGGAGTGAAAGTTCTTTTAGTAATGATTGTGGTTGCAATTCCATTTAAAATTGATAAATTCACATTAACTCTGCTGAAGAGACATGTGCATGTGTGTTTACATATTTCTCTTAATATATAAACACCAGTGTGTATAAAGTTTTCAAATAAACTATCATTTATGTTATTCTCACAGTAAGTATGCCAGCTCATTCTCACAGTAGATCTCTCAGCTCAAGATTGAACCTAAAATGATGAGTAATTTTGCTTAAAAAGAAAAGAAAAAAAAGGTGTACTGCACATTCTATATATATGAAAACGAATGTACCCAAACTCCTCAGGACTAGTGATACCAATACACATGTACCTTCTAGCCGTCCTTATATGAAGTACCAAACCTAAGAGGACCAAGCAGAGCAGCTGAGTAGTGAAAACTGCCCTGCCTGGTGACTATCAGAGCAGAAGAGGGGGCTCACCTTGGTATTTTCCACCAGCAAGATGAGGACGGGACTCATCACTGTTAAACAATAAGCAGGGTAGGGTCAAAGGGAACATTTATCTACAGTCCCGAATAATGTTGTAACTGTGCCCAAATACACACACACACACGCACACACACACACACACACACACACACACACACACACACGGGTGGGTCAGTGGAACAATTACACCATTTCCCAGACTGATCCTTTTGCATAAATATTCTAGTCAGTTAAACTTTCATCTAGCCTACAACCTTTCCTCTTCCACCCAACATTTATACCAAGCAACGTTAGCGTCTTAATAGATACATTCTTTGAAGTGATACTATTAAAATAATGAAGCAAATGGTCCACTTTTAGAAAGATTATTCAAAATCAACAAGCATGATTAAAGCTGTTAGGGCAGAAATAACTTTGGCCTCAGATTTTTGCTAGCTTCATATTTTACTTCCCTTAGTGATGTTTGTTCAAGTATTACAGGTTTAGAGTTATAACTATTTAACATGCTACAGCACAACGCACACCTGATTAATAAGAATATAATTTCAACTTTCCTTCCCTAAACAAGAACTGGACCACCCATAATAGAGCCGAACTTTCACTGCGTGCTGTGTGCCAAGTGTGTGTCAAACTTTTTCACATGCTTTGGGAGCTTTATTTTCATAATTCTCACAAGGGAATGAGCTGGGTATCAGCTGTACGGAGCTGTATGTACATCCTAACAGCAGTGGGAGGAGATGACTGAAAATGGAAAGCAAGCCTCATCCTGTACTGCTGGGGAAAATGCCTCTACTCCTCCAACAAAGGACTCCCCATTTCTAGCCCACTGGGTCCCCCATTGAATCCCTAAGTGTTTCTTCTGAACTATAATCTGTAGAGGAAAGTCACTGGGCTGTAACATAAGAAACTTAAAAATGTAAGTATTTTAAACAATGTCAAAGTTGTTTCTTTAGAATTCATCCACATTATAACCCACAGTCTAAGTCACTTAAAAATATTCATTGTATTGATACACAATCCTGGGCACGTGCCCTGCCCGGGAATCAAACCATGACCTCCTGGTTCATAGATCAACACTCAACCACTGCGCCACCTCAGTTGGGCTTCATGAAAAGCAAATGTAAGCAAGGCCTTAGTATCAGAGAGAGACTAGAATTTCATGTTTATATCCCATGGAGACCACACTAATTCATCCACTGCCCCTTCTAAATCACAGAACTCCTGAGGTCTAGCAGAGACCAAGGCCAAGGACAATAACAGTCAAAGAAGCACACTGGGTACACATCAACCAACAGATTTTCATTTTTAAGAATTTCTTCTGTTTGATACAAACCTACGGTAGTTCATGAATTTATTATATGTAATCATCAACTCCTCACTTTTAAAATAAAGTATCCCGTGAATCTACTTTGTAAAGTTTTAAAGAACATCTACTTAAACATTTGGATTAGCAGTATTACTCAACCTGAGAATCAGAAAGAAAAAAAGGTGCAAACATATTTGCCTTTGGCACACACAGGACAAGTATTGGTACAGTCGGGCTCCAAAGTGCAGCTCTTAAGCAGTAATGTGATGCTTGATCTGCCTCTGCTAACTGTGATTCACATATTGCTTCCCTATCAGTCCACAAATTTGCTTCTGTTTAAAAAAAAAAAAAGAGGCAATAAAAATGAATATATGGTCTAGTTACATATACTCTGCTGCTTCCCGAGTTTAGAACTGTGAAAACAAGCAAATAGCTCATCCCAACTGGGACACTATCATTAAGAGATTCTAATAAGATTACTCATAAAATATACTTTAACTGGGTTCAAAGAGAATTTAAAATATAGCAATCAAGGAGAGTGCCAGTTGACAAGTTTCCACCCCTTCTGTGAATAGCTTTCACAGAAACTTCTACATGTTAATTTGATAGGGAAGGAGACAGTTAATTATAATTTAAAATACTTGAAGACACATTAATTCATATATTTAATTTCTATCTTACTAGTTCCTATAAAATCTCAAGTTTCTAATTAGGATTTATGGTGTAAAAAAAAAAAAAGGCAATTTGGTAGCTGAGTTCTTTTCATTAAAGACACAATCAACTAGCAGAGTTAAGACACCAGTTCCTCATCACCTGATACCTTTTACTACTATGTAGCCAGTGTAAGATGGTCAACCCCGCAGAGGGCAGAGGTTCGCAGCAGGATCCGAGTCCTGCCCATAAGGCTTGGGGCTCTCACTGTTCGGTGCACTTCATTACAACCCCCCCCCCCCCCGCCCCAAACCTAACGAAAGAAACTGTCGCTCTTGACCTGGGGAATATTTGGTGGTAATTTAATAAAGTACGTTATTATATACATGATTTTACATTGTAAACGTTTTAAAAACTCAGGGTTTCAGCTACAGCTTTTTTTGCTGAAATAAAAAGTCTATATAATCCTTGTCTCCTCACACCATTTTCCAATAATCTCCTTTATTAGGGACGTGAAAACAAAAGTTTTGAGCAAGAAGCCATTCAAAAGCGGAACATTAAATGTTCAAGTACTGTTTTTTCTCTCTTCTATATCATTTTTTCTTTTACATTTTGCACACATCAGGTATCAAGTTTTTGTTCTAGGCTTCAACGTAGATATTCCATATTAATGGCACTTGTTTTTAAAAATGAAAGTTTTAGGCACAATAGTTATTTCTGGCTCTGCTTTGTAGAGAATGGTAGAAGGATTAAAATCTCTGCATTCCCCAGAAAATAAACTTCTGATTCTTTGTGAAGACAGGATTCTGTTTTACTGTTGGAAATTAGAAGGGACCCTTAAAAAATCCACAAGTGCAGCCTGTGTGTGTACAGACAGCCTTGGCTTTAATGCTGGGTTCTGGAATGAGCCTGGATGGGCACACAAACATGACATTCTGGTACAAAAATAACAGCGCGGTTCTCCCGCACATCTGGAGCCAGGCCACATGCATCCCCTGGATTTCAGTGCTGTCGCCAAGTCAGTAGCTGGAACCCTGGGCCAGAGCTTCCAAAGCAGCTCCCTCTTCCCGCCTGGAAGAGACACCAAGTCACTACCCTGTGGAGATACTTCCTTTTGCGATTTGGTTTATTTAAAAATCACCTCTTCTGAGTGAATTGTAAGAATGAATGATATAAAGAGCTATACAAGTACACAATGGCGGATTCTATGGAAATGCCCGGTGGTAGCCTTCAGCTTCTGGCTATTCCCCCTTCTAGACTGGTCATCCTGTCAGCTGTGACCGTACTAGCAAGTCCAGTGCGGGTTATTCAGCGGGTTCTATGTGGTGTCACGGTAGCCTTGCTGGCACTACTTCTAGCAACCTTTCCCCAGTTGCATGATGCAGTTCCCCAGATTCGTGAGTACATCATGGGAACAAGAGGTCTTCCAAGCCAAGATGGTAACCTAGCCCCATGGATAGTTGACAACACTGAGGTGACTGGTGAAGGGAAGTACAAGAACATTAAAGCGGCATTGTCTTTAATGTACCATTTAGTAAGAAAGCCTCAGCAAAATCCTGTTGAGTAAATCAAAAGGAGGTTAATGCTGTTTGCTACAGTCCGGCCCGGAGTTACACCACACATTATCAGCCTGTACACCTCATTGGACTTTAGAGAGGCAGCCTCATCGCTCTCCAGCAGAGGATGAGATGTAAGCCTGCTACGGGGCTTACTAGACATCCAAGAACATGCGAGAGTTGGACCTAGGGGAACGTGCATTTGTAGCCCAAGTAAAATTAGTTGCATCATTTGAAATGACTCCCTACATCACTATTAAGTCCTTTGTCCATGAAGGCATGTCTCACGCAAGCTTCCTACTGGGAGTTGGTCATGAGATAAAGAAATTTATGGATGTCAAGGATAAACTGCTCGAGAAATATGGTCCTGCCATGTTTCCTTACTTGAAGGCTCTTAGGCTTGAAGGTCTTGAACCACTTGCACCAGAATGTTTTCCGAATCTGTGCAAGGTTGCAAACACTCGCAAGAGGAAAGCTGACCCTACTTTCAGACTATGAATCCAATAAGGAACAGCTCTCACATTTACCTGAGTACGAGATGGATGCTGCATTGTCTACACCAATAAAGAAACGAATTCTTGATAACAAAGATGCTGAAGGAATAAAAGTTGCCTACCGCATAACTGATCAAGACATTAGCACAGCAATGGAATCTTCTGAGCCTCAAACCACCATTGATGTAATTAAGCAGTTCTTGGTTGCCTTAGGTGCAAACAGCTCCCGACCTTAATTTAAAAAAAAAAAAGCTATACAAATCAATTTTCTCTCAAATTCATAAAACTATTCATCCTTTTTTGAAACACCAAGAGTCCATCAGAAGTCTCTACTGTTTAGAAGGAAATGGAGCAGCACCAAATGGGTCTAATTCGATGGACTGGGGCTGTTGGGCCTGAGGTGAAGTGACGCTCTGCACCACAAGTTCTGTAAAGGGCACGGCACCAAAGTCATCCATTTTCAATGCATCTGCACTATGAAAGGACCCATGGAGTGAGTTGGGTCTTGGCCACCCGGGCAGCACAGGGTTGTGGTCAGCACGGATGTCGCCCAGGCCCTGGTGGGAAGGGTGCCATGGCACATCTGGGGGATGGAAGGGCTTGGCCCCAAATGGGTCCAACAGACTCTCCTCGGGAGGCAGGACATTCCCCCTGTCCTTCCCATCAGTCAGCGCAACGCTAATGTTCTCCTTGGAGTCTGAGATGGTTAGGAACTCGTTGCTGCTCTGAGAGTCGCGGCGGCCCACCTTTTTGTGCCTGCGGGCCCTCTCTGGAGTGCGGTAGGTAGGCTTCACTGTCTTCTTCGTGCTGGTCGGCGTGCCGTGGTGCCGCTTCCCGTTACTTTTGGACAAATCCTGCTTTGTGCGCCTTTGGCGAGAAGATAGTTTCTGTAAGCTACGCTGTTTGACTTTTTGCTGCTGACTCCCAGTTATTTCCTCAAAGGGCACGAGGCCAAAAAGGTCCTCGTGGCTGTCACTTTTGCCTGTGGACGTGGGAAAGGGCTGAAACGGAGTAGAGCCAAATATATCCACACTTTTGGGACAACCAGGGAGAGTCCGTGCTTCGGGCCCTGCTGCATGACCGTCTTGGACGTTCACCTTCTTGCTAAAGGGGGCCTTCGTGAAGACGTCAAATTCCTCGTGCTCCAGTCCCACAGGAGGAAAATAGGGCTGCTGAGGGAGGCTCTTCTCATTCTCTCCTTGTGGGGGCTGTTGAGCACGCACTGCAAAGAAGGGGACAGCGCCAAACACATCAAACTCCTGTTTGGGAGTCTCCACTCCTGCAATAGAGGGCACTTGGGGTGAGCTGAGGAGTGCTGCATTCCGATCTTGGATTGGTCCACTGCCGGGTTTGTCTCTGTAGGCAGGGCTCCCAGCACTGTACTTGACTTTGGCCTGTTCATCATCAGAATCAGAGCTGTGTTTCTCTTCCTCTTCCTCATCCTCAGAGTCCATGAGGAGAGGCCTATGACCCAGATTTTCCGGTTCAGTATCATCATCGTTGAAATCTTGTCCTCCCTGAAGAACTTCTTCATCCTCTTGCTCTTCCTCTTCACTGCTCTTAGGAGAAGGGGGATCCGATTCAAAATCGCTTTCAGATTCGTCATTTCCCTTCTGCACCTGACCCTGTACGGATGAATTCTCTGAGGTTTTCTTCCCAGCCCGGTGGTCTTTTGACACTAGACTTGTCTTTCTACTCTTCATAGGGCTTGCAGGGCTAGTTTCTTGATTCGTGGATGAATGTTCGATTTTCTTTTCAGGAGAACCTGCAGGTTCAAAGAAAAATGCTTTTAGAATTCTAATGCATTTCAAAACCATTTGCAATAAACAATATTTACTAACACAAAGCATTCCAAATCCTTCATACCAGTTCTCTTGCAGTGGTTCTCAACCTTCCTAATGCCACGACCCTTTAATACAGTTCCTCATGTTGTGGTGACCCCCAACCATAAAATTATTTTTGTTGCTACTTCATAACTGTAATTTCGCTACTGTTATGAATCATAATGTAAATGTCTGATATGCTATATGTGTTTTCCGATGGTCGCGACCCACAGGTTGAGAACCACTGTTAGAGTAAGAAATAAGGTCAGTTAGGCTCAGGGAATGCCACTTGTCCTGACCATCCACTGACTGGATGGTCAGGTCCTTCAGAGCAGACAGACTTACTTGTCTCTGTCCCTACATGCCACCTACTCATCTCTGGCCCTCACCTACAGATAAGTTTTATTTATACCTGGCATAGAACTCTGAATACAGTACACAAGCAGATCTTCTTCTCCCACTTTCAAAGTAAGATTATTCAGACAACTGCCCCTGCAATTACCTGCTTATATTTACCAACCTTTTGCTTATGTTTCGTTGTTATAAAGTTTGATATGTATATAGAGATACCAACAAGCATGAATAGCTTGTCTGCTCAATTATGTGTTTCACTTTAATTTTCTTAATTGACATTCCTTTGTGTGTGTGTGTTTGTGTGTGTGTAAACTAGTATCGTAGGAGTCGGGTTAACATGGAATGCATCCCCTTAGCCAGACCAAAGCTAAGGACCAGGCTCTGAACTGAGCTGTACCAAGGGCATCTGCCTTCTCCAGATGACACAGCTCCCTTTATCATTTCTATACTAGTAGACATCACATTAAAAGCATATGCCACCCATGAAAAAATGTTAACGGTCACTGTGTGATCAGTAATAAAGTTGCACCAGAGTGCTATACAACGTCATTGTATATAATGAAGATATAGTCTATTAGTTTACATGAAAATATACTGCCATCCCAATACGCTGGTGTACTGAGCTGATTTTCCAGAGGTAGAGACGGAATTGAGTTGATCCAACCACATACCTATTCACCCTTTCCCCTCCTTTGATTAATCACATATTTTCAAAATAATTAGCGAGGGCTGGAAGTCTAATCTGCAGTCATAAAAATAATTTGCTTATGATGGAAGAATTATTGCTTTCCCGTTGGTAACATGGTGCCCCTATGGCACACGACACCTCTGAGTTATGTCCTTCTCTTTGAAAGTCAGGTCTGCTATCTTCCCACCTCTCTATTCTTTCTTGGTCATAATTGTAAAGACTTCTCCTCCAGTGGCATCTCCTTAAACATGCACGTTCCCCAGGGTCCTGTCCTTGGTTGTCCTTCTCCGTCTGCATGGCTTCCCCTGGGTCTTAACTAATGTATGTTAACTGTCACATGCACCATAATGACTGGATCTCTAATACCATGAATACCTATCTGTCTTATTCATCTCACACTTATGAATATGTATCCTATTATTACTTCAAACTCAGCAATTTCAAAAGGAATCACCTTTCCTCTGAAAATGGGCTCCTCACCAGTTCCCTCTAAATGCCCTCTGCACAACATTTCCATCTACCTAGTTCTACAAACCAGCAGATATCTGGAAATAATTTTCCCTCTTCCCACCAAATAGTGTTTTTAAAATCTCTTGAACCCGTTCCCTCCTCTCCCTCTGCCATTTCATCCCCTCCTTGTCTCTCGTCTAGCAGCTCTTCAGCCTCTGACCTGCCTGCCTACAGCCCCACATCCTCACTCTGCTCTTCTCCTGTCACCAGAAGCACTTTTCCGAAACTCTCATCCTGTAGCTACTGCATAAAACCTTTCAGTGGCTCTAAAGTCCCAGCCTGAGCCCACAAAGGGGCCGTTCTCTGCTTGGACCTGTCTTTGGCCTCGGACCCTGATGTCTCCCATGAATTTTCTTCATTATAGCCACTCAGCCTCTCCCCACTCAAACTCAGTAACTGAACAGATTTGGGTAAAGTGGGGTTTTCTGTTTGTTTTTTATAGCTGTCTTGCTATCCAACCTCATAACATTTGCTATCAAAACCTGAGGAACCAGGAGCACTCTGCTGTTTTAACATCTCTCTACCATTTAATACCGTACCTCAGTATGTCCTTCTAGCATTCCCACTCCCACCTGACCTGCCTAGTGGGCCTGGCTGTATTTCAAGACCCAGCCTGTGTCATAGCCCTTTGGAGGCACCCCTTGAATAATGCCTGTTTTTGGTGTTTCTGATGACCTTAGTAAAAGCCTTACTTGTAGTACCTATTGTACTGTATTACAATGATGTGTTTACTTGTCTGTTTTCCCACTTGATTATGAGCTCTCAGACACAAGCCTATTTATCATTTACCTCTACCCTATCACTGTGCTGAATCAATATTTGCTGAATGAAACAAATACTCTGAGCTCACAAATATGGACACATACATATTCGATATACTCAGAAAAAGAGAGTTACATAGACAATAAACCCTTTACATTTGGAGATGTTTTAGCTCAGAATCAGGCACTCACATTTTTTGATTCAACAAAAATATTTTATAGGGTACTTTCTTATACACTGGTCATTAATTAGTGAATAAAATGAACATGGTCTGCGCCCCCAGGAGTTTACAATCAAATGTGGAGATAGAGTACAAGTCAACATGAATGTGGCTGGTGCTCTGAAAGAACAGAGCAGAGGCACATCCTGGGGCAGGGGAGGCGCCAGCCTGCTCTGGATGGCTGGTGAAGGCTTCTTGAGGAGACGCTGACCAGTGACCAGGGGTCAGCGTGCCATGGACAGGCAGAAAGCTGCTCCAAGTAAAAGCCACAGCATGTGTGGAGGCCAATTCAGGAAAGAGGTTGGTATGCTTAAGGGACTGAGAATAGGCCACTGTGCCTGCAGCATGGAGAGCAAAGGGGATACCATACAACATGAGGGAGGAAGGGGGCAAGGAGCACACTGTAAAGGTCCCTATATGGCCATAAGCTCAGTTTGGTTCTAAATTGTGTAGTGGGAAGTCTTCACAAGGCTTTATTTAAAATGGGTGTCATGCTCTGATTGATATTTCCAATGATAACTGAGTGAAGAGAGGGAACAAAGGGGGGGTCAGGGAAGAGGGAAGTGGGGTCCTTCAAGTTAGAGATGGTGGCTTGATGATGGTGGTGTCTGGGTAAAAAAAATGGAAGAAGAAACTGAAGAGGGGAACTCTGCATGGTAATTCCATTAGCAGGTAGTCAAGTGAGTGAAGAGGTAGCTGAGAATAGAGGCCATTATCAGGAACTGGTTTTGGACACAAGTCTTGAGGTATCTGTGAGACATTTCAGTGAGAGCAGGTGTCTGTGGCTTGAGCACGCTGGTTGGTTTTTAGTGGAGAAAAGAGATCTGGGAGTCCTCACCATGCAGGGGATACGCAGAATCACACTGACGGAAACCACCTAGGAAGAGGGGACAGAAGAGGAAAAGAGGGTCCAACACTGAGCCCTCAGGGGTCAAACACTTAGAAATCGGCAGGGGAACCTGCACAGCAAACTGAAAACTGCCAAAGAAGAGGCCCCAAACCAGGTGAGTGCAGCATTACAGAGGCCAAGAGAGGCAAGCATTTCTGGGGAGGGAACAGACAGCTGAGCAGGTGCTGCCAAGAGCTCCAATGCACTGAAGACAGAAAACGGCAGTGGCTCTGGTCGGATTTGCAATTGGTTGGCATCTTGAAGCAAGGAGTGGGCAGGCAATCTAGTGAGGCTGCGTGAGGGGAGAGAGGACACTGAGAATTCCATCAGGTTCTACTAAAATACAAATAGGATCTATTATTCACTTGCTAGTTCCTTAAAACCAGCCAAGAGCTACGTGCTGTTTCTTTACAAATTTATAACAGGCTTATCTTAAATCCTAACAGATTAAACCCAAATCAAATGCAGAGTCTCCAGTTTGCCTTCTCCATACATCATACTTCTGATATGAAAAACAAAGATTACTTTTAGGTGAGCCACAGAATTTATTTTCATGAATTTTTATTCAAAAGCAAAAGATGTACTGGCAAAGACATGCAATCATCCCTCACTTTGGGAAATTTCCTCTAAGATGCATTATAACTTATTACCTCCTCAGGCTACTTACCCACCCACAGGGAACCACAAGGTGCACGCCTCATGCCTGCTCATGCACACCTTCAGCAACATTCCAGTGTGTTTCCCAAAGTATATTCTGCAGAAACTGTTCCCATAACAAGAACCGAGCAGCTCTGTGGCCTCAGAGAGCTGAGTTTATGAAATGCTGCTCACCTAGAAAATGCTCAGTAAAGGGCTGTTCAGTCCTACACAAGAGAATCTGTTTAATTTTATGAAACCTAAATTTCCCAGGTCTGCTTCACTATACTTTTATTTACATGTAACACCTATTAACCTTTATAGACAATTTTATCAATAGCACTTTGGGAAAATGCTGCCCTACAACTTCTCTGGGAAAATTTCCATTTCTAGGGCATAGAGTTTTGTTCCCTGGGTTTTCTGGAACATTTATCATAGGACAAAATTCTTCAATTAACAGGAAAATTTCCATTTCTAGGGCACAGTTTTGTTCCTAAAGGTCTGGAACATTTAACGTAGGACGAAATCCTTCAATTTGCCTGTTTCCTTTACTCAATTGGCCAACACTGCTATATATATATATATATATATATACACACACACACACACACACACACACACACACACACATATTATTGATTTTAGAGAGAGGAAGGAAGAGGGATAGAGAGATAAAAACATTGATGTGAAGAGGAACATCATCAGTAAGAGAGAAATATCAATCGGCTGCCTCCTGCACACCCCCTACTGGGGATTGAGCCCGCAACCTGGGCATATGCCCTGACCAAAATCAAACTGTGACCTTCCGGTTCATGGGCCAATGCTCAACCACTGAGCCCCATGGGTCGGGCAGGCCAACACTGCTTTCCAAACACATTTGTCA